TGTCTTCTTTGCGGAACCTTTGGATGTATTGGTGCCTATAGTTAATAGTTTATTCATTGTCTACCATATAATCACAATCAGTGAATGCACTGTAAATACAGCCAATTGTTTACTCATCGTATGACTAGTAAGCAAGCATTGGCTGTAATGCAGTGCATGGAGAGGTCATACCCTTGGCCTGGGAGGACATGTGCCTCCAGAGGCTGATAATAGGCCGGTAATGGTGTCTCATGTGGTAAGCGGTGGTCAACACTGCATAGCAGACAATCACAGGATTACTGTTACGGCGACTCAACACTATGTGTGTTGTATTGGTTGATGTCATGCGCAGTGAAGCAGTGCTGCAGTGGTTTGTGTTTACTGTTGGAGTCAACTCCGACTGCTGTCTACTGTTGTGTGACTTTTGTCTCAATATATAAACAAAGCATAAAATGGATGAAGACTTGTGTGGTGCGGATCCCAACGCCACTCATCCGCACGCGTATGGATCACCACAAGCGGACACCACCTCTCACTCGGCGCACCACATAAGCCACACTGTGATGGAGACGTGCGATGAGTCATCTCATGGCCAGTCGTGCCACTCATCGCATCCCTTACATCGGTATCGATCGCGCACTTCGTTTGGCCGACAATTATCCAACACTGAGATCAGTCGCCGCCGACGGGACTCACTGTCGGCACTCAACTACCAGAACCTGTCGAGCAGTGGTTCCATCATTAATGTGGTGTCAGGTGTGTTGTGTGCCGTCGATGCCATCCATTGCACATCCTTTCATCCATTGCTAACATCCAACACATGTGTGTCTTTAGGAGGAGGAGGAGGAGGAGAGACCTCTAATTTGGTGCGATTCCGGTCATCACTTATGGGACAATCGGCGCCTTCGCTCTCACCCTCAATGGTAAGACATTCACACATTTACTTTGGCATCACTTCTACACATTTGCCGCATTATGGCCTACTCTTATCACTTGCGGCACTAATCATACAGAATATTGCTCTTATATATTACAGAATATTCCGATTCTCGCGTTTATATATAATATTTACTCATTTTTTCATTCAATTAACTATCATTTGAAAGCTTTTGCCAAATATTTGTTTATAAGTTGACAAAATTGATTCAACTAAATATAACCATCAATTTAAACATAGTGTCACTTTTGAATAACTCAAGAGACATTTATTATCTCAAGTCTAGTACTTTTGGTCCCATTGGAGCCATCATCAGGAGTTATGGCTCGCAATGAGATAACAAATTATATTTTAAAGGATTTGTTTAATTACTCAATTGATATATGATTGTGATTTGGAGTGCATATTGAGACAAACGGTGTCTCAAACGGTTATCATTTATATACCCGTAAAGAGTTTAATGTTTTTTTCAAATATTTATCAATTTAATAATATTTTTACTTAACATTAGCAACACTTAAGTATTGCATGAATGGCACGAGTATTGAAAACAGTATTTTATAATATGAATCATTCATTGATTTTGTTTCAAACAATATAATTAATAGACTTTCGTAACCATTCTTTATTATAATACCTTATAATCTCGAAAGCAATCGATTATTTGTTTTCTAAAAATACATTTCAAGTAATTATTATAAAGAATGGGAACATCTCTTGTGATAATCAGAATCTATTCATTCTGTAAAGTTATGGTTATTATACAGTACTAAAGATACGATATTATTATTACTACATTATAGTAACGACTTGTTATAATCGCGTAAAACATTCATTTTAATGAATATTACATTTTTTATTTATTAATAACTTTTAATTATATTTTTATTGAAATGATTTTAATTCATATCTATTTTTAATAACTTTATAAAATGAAATTTTAATTTAAAGCACGTTTACGGTAGATATTTGAGGCATATTATAGATAATGTAACGCAAATAAATGATGGATCGATAATTGGGATTTTAACTTATTTAACCCCTAAATTGAGTTAATGGATGAAAATGTTTTATAACGAAATGTAAATGTTTTGTAATGTTAGTGACAAATAGTCTACTGTTAGTTGGCATTGAAATCAAATTTGACGATTTATTGGATCGAAATGAATAGAAAGTGTAGAGCGATGTAGAATTGGTGCCAAAGTTTCAAATATTTTGTTCAATTCAAATAATGTTTGTATTTATCACAGAAGGAGACTAACAATACGAGAAAAGCGCAGTAAGTGTTNTACAGAACGTGGAGAACTGCTTCGGCATCTCTGGAGTGGTAACACATTGTCTTGTTATGTCTGATCACATGTTTTACTCATTTGTCACGTTTTAAAGCCATTGGCCATTCAGGGACGGGTCCTCGTCGGCGAAGGTATGTCTGTGTCTGGCATTCACTGATCGCTTTGGCCAGTCGTCTGACAGATGAGTGTTTCACTACTTGCAGGCATTCTCACGAAGGGCTGTCGCAAGAAGTTAAAGCCCCGACAGGTGTTCCTCTTCAACGACATCCTCGTCTACGGAAGTATTATCATAAACAAGAAGAAGTACAACAGACAGCATATCATTCCTCTTGAAAACGTCAAACTCGACGATCTTGACGACGAGGACAGTATGTATTGATTTCGTGATTGCGTGACACTGTCTGAGCCTATGCTGTGTTGACAGACCTGAGGTATGGCTGGCAGATCAAGACACCCACGAAGTCGTTCAACGTATACGCGGCCACAGCCACCGAAAAGGTTGAATGGATGGCTCATATCAACAAATGTGTGGACGAACTGATCAAAGCGGGGAACCGTCCGGCCTCTGAACACGCGGCTGTTTGGGTCCGTTCACTGCACTCTCCCTTCCCTTCCCTTAAGCACTCATTAATTGTATTTGTTTTACATTTTATTAGAAACCCGACAACACGTCAAACATTTGCATGCATTGCAAGAAGACTCAGTTCACTGTTATTAACAGAAGGGTATGTCCGCTATATTGCAATATACTGTACTGTATGTCCACATTATGTCTGACGACGACTGTCTGTCTGTCTGTAGCACCACTGCCGCAGCTGTGGTGATGTAGTGTGTGGTCATTGCTCTAAAAGCAAATTTTTGATTCCCAACCAATCGGCAAAACCTGTTCGAGTCTGTGATGGATGTTATGACAAATTGGGAAAACTGAGGATCAGTTCTAAAGACAACTCATATAATAATGTAGACTCAAGTGTGGGAAAGACCGACACGAAGACTGAACACATAAACGAATCCTCAGATTCTGAAGACGACGAAACTCGACAGAAGCAAACTGACGATGACTTGACGAGAAGTCTTGAAGATCTAACTATTGATGAAAAGGTAATGAATTGATGCCAATATCATAGAAATGACATTAAATGGCATTGTTTTTGGTTTGTAGCCCACATTCTACAGCTCTGTTAAGGCAGACGTTTGAAGACATCAACTCTCGAAGTTTATCATACAATCAATACTTACTGTGAGATTTGAATTGTGCCTTAAATTGGGTCTAAATGACGCCTAAACGTTTATAACGATTTTATATTTACCCGAAACTATATATTTGAGGCAATTATCCAATTTTATAGACAAATATTTTTCATAAACATATTTCAATTTTATCTACTATTATAATGAATTGAATATTTTATATTTTAAATCTAAGATTTATTTTTGGCTGACAATTAAAATAACAAATATTTTGCATATATTTATAAACAGATTAAATCTCTAATTGTTCACAAAACCATTGAATAAATATTTTAATCGTACGCTAAGAGTAGTTTGGTTTGTGGTTCACAATCATTATTCCTCAAAGTCTATAAACTAAGACTTATTTGACGGCTGTTTGAGTCTGTATTTAGACATATCTATCATATAATCATAGAAACTATTATCGTTGTGACCGTAATATTCTGGTGACCTATAGGTGCCGTCGTCCACCTGACCACTGGATGTTGCGGTCGCCACTTCTGGCGGTGCCTGTGTCTCAGTCTTTGTCGATGTCTTCTTTGCGGAACCTTTGGATGTATTGGTGCCTATAGTTAATAGTTTATTCATTGTCTACCATATAATCACAATCAGTGAATGCACTGTAAATACAGCCAATTGTTTACTCATCGTATGACTA